GCTTTTCTTTTGTTATCCAATAAGTCGCATGATGGTTAAAGCAGTCCAATACAGGGAGTATGGGCTTTGGGATTATATAGACCTGGTTAGATAGTCGTGGTTTTGAAACTGATCAGGTCACTTTACCAGTTCTTGGACAGTTGTATAATATTGGGTAAATTGTATAATATTGGGTAAGTCCTAGAACAAAGATTTCCTCCTCTCCTTAAAAGGAGGTTAAAACCTGCCTCATTAAACCTTACCTGTTTGCAGCTTGATTTTCATCATATGAAGTCTTGGCATATACCACTCTTATTACTCTTAGGTTAAGGACAGTTTTGAGTTGTAAAGAAAGTATACCACGTGGTTTTATAGTTACTGGATTGTTGGTAAAGACTCTCGATGAAAGACTGTATCTTAAAAAGTGGTAAATAGTCTGATAGTTCCTTTTCTTTACTGCGAACTTATTGCTGTACTACTGCACTACACATGTACATATTTTATTTATAAATTCTTTACTACAAGTGTGGTCATTATATTAAAGAATTTACTAGGTCAATTATTTTAATAGTTGAAGCCTAGTAACCAATTCTTTTTAATAAAAATGATATAGTAAGATTTTTTTCTTTAGGAGTACTATTTGTATATTTTGGCAGATTTATCTTAAAAACAAAACAAAACAACTCTTGTTCCTACATAGTTATTTTACTTTTGTAGAGGACAACAAAATAATGAAATGTTTTTGTTTATTTTATTTTTTTTAAAGATGGTTTAAGTGGATCTTAACCCTTGACTTGGTGTTTTCAGCACCACGTTCTCCCAAGTGAACTAACCGGTCATCCCTATATAGGGATCTGAACCCGTGGCCTTGGTGTTATCAGCATCACACTTTCCCAAGTGAGCCATGGGCCGGCCCTTTGCTTTGTTTTTTGAGTGCTTGTAGAACCAGGCTCACGACCTTATGGTCACTTTACTGAATACATAAAGGCATTAATGTGAGTCCCCTTTCAGGAGAAATGAATTCATTTGGAGTTATTTAACTTCACAGACAAATAAGAGTTTTTTTTTTAACCCAGGTACATTCATCTTTGAAGTACATGATTTTTCTCCCTTCTAAAATTTTCCTTGGCACCTAAGTATAGAAATTTACTAATTTTTCTTTTCTTTTCTTTCTTTTTTTTTTAAAAGATGACCGGTAAGGGCATCTTAACCCTTGACTTGGTGTTGTCAGCACCACGCTCACCCAGTGAGCTAACCGGCCATCCCTATATGGGATCCGAACCCGTGGCCTTGGTGTTATCAGCACCACACTCTCCCGAGTGAGCCACGGGCCGGCCCCCTAATTTTTCATTTTGAATAACTTGCTGTAAAAGAGAAGAAAACTAAAAAGACTTCTCAATATAAATACAACTGCTTGGGCTAAAATGTTTTTGAACGTAGGTGGACCATAAGTCATATAAACAAAGATGACAGTAGACATACCATCAGAAGGCTATTCCATGTATTTTCATATCTGCCTGTTTTACCTTTCCCCTTATTTCTTAAGATTTCCAAAATATCACTTCTCTAGCCTACATTTGGATAGTGCCTAACTAAAGTGTCTGATGTTTTAAATGCTATATGTAGCTTTAAATGTAAGGCAGTATTTTGGTAGTGAAAATTTCTCTTGTAAATTATGAAATGGGATTTTTGTTGTTGGTCTATCCTTGAATATCTGTTTCTAGGGAGACTGTTTGAGGAAGGAAAAAGGGCTGGGGAGTGGGAGAAAGTATGGTTAGAACAAAGTAGAGGGTAGACTTGGGGGGGGTGATGGCAAGAATGTGTCATTCTATCAGTGACTTGTTTTTTAAACATAAAAATCATATGTGCCAAATTTACATATTTACTAATTAAAAAGACTTCCTGGAAACGTTAAGTAGACTATCTTCTATAACCTTTAACACTGTCACTAATGGATATAGCCTAGAAAATTTCATCGAAGGTCCTTTAAATAATGTAAATGATTATGAATATGTAACTAGTTAATATGCAGCTACTAAAGGATTATCATGTAGAGGTTAATGAACATTCTGCTCTTATGGTTTGCAGGGCTTTTCTTTTTGTGCTTTTGGCTCACTTCATGCTTGGAAACACATGCATTGGGATTGGAAAACATCCTGACTGTTTTTGGGTCTCATCTTTTAATGGGGTTGTTAAATAAGAACTTTATAAAAAAGGATTTCATGAAGATTTTTTTCTCTTTTAATTTACATTTAATTCTATTTGTCTATTTTATAATTACTGCCAAATCAGAAACAGTGAAGTGGATTGATGTAGTTTTAGCTTGGCTCTTCCAGATGTAAAGTCAGTACTCTATTATATATTACCACTGTTATTAAGTGTTGCTATGTGATTGATACTTACTGAGAGATCTTCATTCTAAAATGGACTTTTATGCTGAGTTAATGTGTAGTATGGTTCAGTATCTGATTACAGCATGTATTTTGGCGCAGGATTGCTGCCTTAGTATTTAAAATGTCCCAAAGGAGGACATTTATTTCAGGAATTAAATGTTATAATAGAGAAATTTAGTGACAGGTCTAAAAAAAAATTATGTGACTTTTGGGTACAACATTGAGCAAATACGAGAGACGAGACAATGTTAGCATTTAGGATCGTGAACTAGAGCTGTGTGTTGCTGCAAACCAGATAATACTGCTGTCTTTTTCACATGGTTTTGTATTAATAATTTTGGGTGTTATTCCTTAGTTTCTCTGTCTCTAAAGTGGTGCTATGGTTTTCTAGATTACTGTTTAAAATTTTTATTAATGGTGAATTTAAAAATAGATGATTAGTAATGTTTGAAAATAGTGTTAATTTAAAAATTGCCATTACAAATAATGTTATTTTTTAGTTGCATTTTTTTTTTTATTGATTAGTGTTCTTATTTGGTTTCTGAGCATTTTGAGAATCTACTGAAATATGTGTAAGGAAAACAAATAACTTTTGTGCTTAATTTCATTGTTTTAGTATTATAAACATAGTCTAAACTGGCTATGTATGATGTGCTTAAAATTTTATAACAATTCATTGGGGAACAAATGGGCTGTTCAGAGCATCTCTCTATCCCAAGTATTTCTTCTTGAAAATGTAGTAGGAAAATATCACTGAACTCATTTTTAATGCGTCAGAATAAAAATTACAGGTGAAAACATTTGGAGATATACTGACAAAATAAAATATTTTCACTACTGTCATTTTTTTNCAGGAGAAATGAATTCATTTGGAGTTATTTAACTTCACAGACAAATAAGAGTTTTTTTTTTTAACCCAGGTACATTCATCTTTGAAGTTCATGATTTTTCTCCCTTCTAAAATTTTCCTTGGCACCTAAGTATAGAAATTTACTAATTTTTCTTTTCTTTTCTTTCGCTACTAAAGGATTATCATGTAGAGGTTAATGAACATTCTGCTCTTATGGTTTGCAGGGCTTTTCTTTTTGTGCTTTTGGCTCACTTCATGCTTGGAAACACATGCATTGGGATTGGAAAACATCCTGACTGTTTTTGGGTCTCATCTTTTAATGGGGTTGTTAAATAAGAACTTTATAAAAAAGGATTTCATGAAGATTTTTTTCTCTTTTAATTTACATTTAATTCTATTTGTCTATTTTATAATTACTGCCAAATCAGAAACAGTGAAGTGGATTGATGTAGTTTTAGCTTGGCTCTTCCAGATGTAAAGTCAGTACTCTATTATATATTACCACTGTTATTAAGTGTTGCTATGTGATTGATACTTACTGAGAGATCTTCATTCTAAAATGGACTTTTATGCTGAGTTAATGTGTAGTATGGTTCAGTATCTGATTACAGCATGTATTTTGGCGCAGGATTGCTGCCTTAGTATTTAAAATGTCCCAAAGGAGGACATTTATTTCAGGAATTAAATGTTATAATAGAGAAATTTAGTGACAGGTCTAAAAAAAAATTATGTGACTTTTGGGTACAACATTGAGCAAATACGAGAGACGAGACAATGTTAGCATTTAGGATCGTGAACTAGAGCTGTGTGTTGCTGCAAACCAGATAATACTGCTGTCTTTTTCACATGGTTTTGTATTAATAATTTTGGGTGTTATTCCTTAGTTTCTCTGTCTCTAAAGTGGTGCTATGGTTTTCTAGATTACTGTTTAAAATTTTTATTAATGGTGAATTTAAAAATAGATGATTAGTAATGTTTGAAAATAGTGTTAATTTAAAAATTGCCATTACAAATAATGTTATTTTTTAGTTGCATTTTTTTTTTTTATTGATTAGTGTTCTTATTTGGTTTCTGAGCATTTTGAGAATCTACTGAAATATGTGTAAGGAAAACAAATAACTTTTGTGCTTAATTTCATTGTTTTAGTATTATAAACATAGTCTAAACTGGCTATGTATGATGTGCTTAAAATTTTATAACAATTCATTGGGGAACAAATGGGCTGTTCAGAGCATCTCTCTATCCCAAGTATTTCTTCTTGAAAATGTAGTAGGAAAATATCACTGAACTCATTTTTAATGCGTCAGAATAAAAATTACAGGTGAAAACATTTGGAGATATACTGACAAAATAAAATATTTTCACTACTGTCATTTTTTTTAACTGATGAAACATAGATATTACATTGGTTTCTTGTTATTTATAACATTTTGCGTATACTACAAAATATGTAATGTTGAAAACAGGTTTGTAGATTGTACAAAATACTAGCTATCTTATATCATATGTCACTTAATAGTTATGAAGTGGGTTTTGTACCATAGTATGAATCGGAAAGCTGTAATTTGTTCTGCAGTTATCAGCCTGCATTAGGGGGTTATGATAAAGTGTGCTGCTTAAAAACTAACATTCACATCTCTGTGCAGTTGACAAATAAAAATGTATACTGAGATGCTATTAAATCTGTAAAGCTACTGTTCTAGTTTTCTGATACACTGATTTTGTAGCTCTGTGCATAGCCCTGTTTTTTCATGAGTAGTTATCTGTTTTCATGACAGGTGGTCACTAACTGCCAAGAGAAAATCCAGCATTGGTGAGTGAAAGATGTTTTTATTGTACTTCTGAAATACTGATGGGTTTCATCTATTTGTATTTAAATAGTGTGCATAGCCCTGTTTTTTCATGAGTAGTTATCTGTTTTCATGACAGGTGGTCACTAACTGTCAAGAGAAAATCCAGCATTGGTGAGTGAAAGATGTTTTTATTATACTTCTGAAATACTGATGGGTTTCATCTATTTGTATTTAAATAGTGTGTGTACTGTTTGTTGTTTTTTTTGTTTGTTTTTTGTGACCAGTAATTGAATTCTTTTAGTAATCTCCATTTTGAATGCCGTTGACACTAATTTATATTGTCTTTCACCCTTTTCTGAATTACATAGTCCCTGATTTCCTGAAGTTGTGTCACCATTTGTGTTTATTCTAATTGCCTTTCTTGTCCTTTTTTTTTTTTAAGTCAGAAAAATATTATTATGAAGTAGAGACTGAGACATTTTTGAACCTAATTAATCATTGAGAGCTCTATTTTTGGAATATTTCTTATATTTGTAGTAGAAAAATAATTAGAATCAGTTGTTTTAAAATAATGATGAAAATAGGGCACAGATATATTTCCCAAAGTTTGCAAAATCTAATTTCCTACATTCCAGAGCCTGCTTTATGGGCTGCACTTTTTTTAGAGAGGAAGAAAGCATATCTGTTTTATTGTACTAATCTATAGTTAATAGGACAATACTTGGTAAATAACATACTTTCCTATGGCTTCTGAGAAAAACACTCAATTTAATGGTGAATAAAATCTTATATTGTGAGTTGTCATGAGGTATAGTTGTTGATCTTAGAGATATCAAATTACAATATATCCATGCTGTGTTTACGAAGATTTTACTGAGAGAACAACAGGAGCTGTCTTGATTATTGTCTGCAGCGTTATTGCAAAATCATGGTAACTGCCCCTTTAGTGGTGAGATTAAACCTTCCGTTATACACCATCAAGCATATAATATTTTAAATTTATTTTAAGAGGCTTTTTCTTCATGCCTGAGAGATCTCCAAGGAAATAATTTATAGTTAGTATATATCAAATGTTTTTTGGTTTAAATGCACATAGGCTGCAAGCAGTGGATAAGAGTGAAAATCGGTGCAATCGGGACACATCATCTTATTAAATTTTGACTATTGGCTTGCAGGAAATAATCTAAAACTAATAATATCCACTTTATACATGAAATTCAGAACTTTATTAATTTTCAATTACTGTATCGTTGTAGTTGCATCCACTGTTGGTGTAAATCTGTCAACATTTCCATGGACCATTTTCTTTTCATTATATATTCAGTTCAGGTTAAAACTTGAAATGCAAGTCCTTTGCCAAAGAGTTTCCCCCGCCTGCAAATTTGGCCAAAGTGGTCTATTTTACAAATAGTTCCCTGTGGAAGTTTTATTACTGTGGAGTTCTGTCTATTGGTTTTGGTAGGGACTTCAGGATATTAGAAAATGTTGTATTCACTCATAACAGATACTAGTTTACACAAATGTGTAAATAACAACTTGCTTTTGGTTCATTTTATAAGATCTTTCCCTATTAGGGAGTTCTTTAAGGATAAGGGGAATCACCACAACTCCTCCTGTTGTGTTTCGAACAAAATAGACTCGAGTAAATGTCTGAATAAGTGAAGACCAAATATATAGTTTTTTGTTGTATATAGCATTTTAGTTTATAAGTACTAATTGTGCACAAGTCTGGTGAGCAATGACAGACATAATGTGCCATTTTTTACTTCAGGGCAGGTTCACACAACCCTCAATTCCACTTTCCAAATTTCTGAAGCCCTCCAACTACAGAAGCTTAGCATATTTTCCTATACATATCTTAAAGTAATATGATTTATAATTATCTAATGTATGTAATTATCTACACATTAGAACGTCAATATTATTTTTTTCATGTTAAAACTTGTTTTTTTCCTCTGAATCATTTCTGATATGGCTCAGGAAACAGACTTTTCTATTTGCTTTTTAATGAGGATATATACATGATATCGTGATATTGCTAGAATCTAAATGGCCATTGAACTCATCAATTTATTATATTCAAAAATTGAAACCAAAGTGTCTCCATTCCTCTGAAAGCCAGGAAATTGCTATTTGGGAGCATAGTGGAATTATATTTTTACATTTTCTTAATTCCTCAAACAATGATTGAGTTTCTACCATATGCCAGTATTATGCTGCTGTTTGGAATTGAAAGACCCTGCTGTGGAAAAATTCATAGTCAGACAGTAAGCAGGGAAATCACAGTAATTTTTTACGGGTTGCAGTATATGAAGCATGTACAGAGTTCAGAGGCTGGAACCATTCTTAAGGGTGTCTTACATACTACTTTTAAAAGCATGTGCTTTTAATTTTTCTTTACCTCTTGGTGTGAGACTAGTCTAAAATACAATTTATGTAGCTAAGTTCCCTTTCTTTATGGGTCCATACCAATATAATAAGAACAAAGTATATGATTTAAAAAATACATTCTTATGCTAATGATGTTTATGCTTGTTTGTGCAATTCTAATGGGTTCTTTTATTTAAGGGATAAGCAATGTATATTCTAGGCTTGAGAAATAATCTGAATTTTTATCCCTTTCTTTATGGGTCCATACCAATATAATAAGAACAAAGTATATGATTTAAAAAATACATGTGCAATTCTAATGGGTTCTTTTATTTAAGGGATAAGCAATGTATATTCTAGGCTTGAGAAATAATCTGAATTTTTATTTTTTTTTCGAATGTAGGACAGGAAGTAAAAATATTTGTAGAAAAGTAGGAATAAAAATGGTCTGGGACCAAAGAACTTGCATCAAAAAATCTCTTCCAGAAAATTCAAATCCCAGAACTTTGGTGAACTAAGACATTTATAGTATTTGATAGTTATTAATAGACACAAAGGAAATGTTTGACCCTAATAGGTGAGAATTTGTGCAACACTGTTTTAGAGCGAATAGTAGTTTTCAATTTAGTGAGGATTTTAAAAAATTTTTGAGTGAATTTTTTTCCCCTTAAAATCCTTTTTCTTACCTATGGAAACAAGGTATGGTAAAATCCACACACTATTTTCTCATTAAAATGTAGGGATGCTTCCCACTGTTTGCTCCACTAGGGGCTGATTATTTTGTTTATGGATTATTTGTAATTTTTTATCTTTTTAATTTTTCCTTAAAGAGCATGGAATTTTGTGTCACAGATCTACATTTGAATACTGTCATTTACTAACTTTGTGACCTTGGGCAATTATGCTAATTAGGATTCCCAGTTTTCTTGTAAAGTGATGATTTTATTTAACTCATAGGGTTGTAGTGCAGATCAAATGAGCTGATGTCTGTAGAACACCCAGTCTGGCAGTCAATAACTATTAATAGAGTTCATACATCTTTTTTGAAAATTTTAATTGGCAGGTGAATAAAGAAAAAAACAAACAAAAAAGCCCAATGCTTTGTGAATATTTTGTATTCATGCCATTATCATCTATTACGATGGAGACTTGGCTTTCTAAGCGTTATTGTTACAGCTTTACATTAATATTTTTAAATAGCTTTTTGTTATGCAGGGTTTCAAACAAAAGGTGACAGAGCAGTACAGTGAACCCTCATGTACCCATAAGTCAACTTAATAATTATGAACTCATGGTTTTATCTAAACTGTTTCATTTTAATATCCTATCCTACTATCTACCCCTACCTCCAGTTATTTTGAAATGAATGAATCTAAACATATTATTCCATCTTGAAATATTTCAGTATATATCTTTAAGAGATTTAAAAAAAAGACTCTACATTAACTTTTTAAGATTTACATTAAAAAAAATTTAGTTAAGAAATACATTTCTATGTTTCAAAATGTTTTGTAAGAGGTGCAAAAGGGTGTACCCAAAAACTAAATGATGTATAGTTTGTTCCCCAGTTTTCAGTTCTGTTGTCTGGAAGTAACTGTTTTGCCAATTTCTCATAAATCTTTTTAGAAATAGTTTGCATGAGTTAGGATTGTGTGTGTGGGTGTGCATTCATCCACATCTTTATATATACTCTGCTCCCATCTTTTTGGACAAAAATGAAATCAGACCATACTCTGTTCATTTAATATTACACCTTGGAGATTGTTCTCAACCATTAGTTAACTCTTATTCTTTACTTCATTCCCACACATTTCATTGTGTGCCAAATGACTAACTTTTTTAGGGTTACCAAATAAGATTTGATACTAATTTTTTTTTGAAATAAATAATTGCCACATCACTGAGAGTACAGCATTGCATCTCAAAATACATCCTTGCTAAGATGATACGTTCATTATTTTATTGGTCTTTAGTAAAATTACTCCTAAACTTAGTTGCTTAAAACAACCGCCAGTTACTTGTGAATGATTTTTTGGGGGGTGCATGTTGATCTGGGCTCACCTGTGTCTTGTCTGGTTGCAGCCATTTGGCTGGATCAGCTGGGTTGTCCAGAATGGCCTTACTCATAAATCTGGTGGCTAGTACTGGCTGTTAGCTGAGCCTCTCTCTCCATGTGCTCGTTTATCCACCTTACTTTAAATGGTGATCTCAGGGCACCAAGAATGGAAGCTGCAAGTCCACATTATGTTGTTCAGAGGAACTTACAAAGCCAGCCTAGATTCAAAAGTGGGGAAATAACCTCTACCTGTCGATAGGAGGTGCGACAAAGAATTTATGGTCATTTTTAATGCACTACAGATGACTTCTATTGAATGTGTCCTACAAGAAAAAAGAAGTCTCATTACTTTGTGTTGTGGGAGTTAAATGAAATAGTGCATGCAGTGCCTGGCACATACAAACCATATGTATGTTAGGCATTATTTGTATAATAGTAAATTGTATGCATATGAGTTGTAGAAAATTTATTATCTTGCTTTAAATCATCTTAAAAGGATTTTAAGCAGTAAATATATCTAAGAAATTAAATGAAGTAGATTTAAATGGAAATATAGACAGAGCTATTTTATTTTGTTCAAGTATTTAGTTTTGG